GGCTGCAGCCGATCAATGACTCTCTCATCCTTGGTGTTTCTCTCTCTCTCTCCCTCTCCCTTCCTCTCTCTGAAATCAATAAAGATATGTTTAAAAAGTAATAATAACGCTGCCCCGAGTACCCACGGACAAGTGTCATTTCACACGTGAGCGGAACGCGTCTACGTTCAGTTCCCAGAGATGAAACCGGCGGTCCACAGGGTGCATGTGTTTGTGACGTCAGTAGATTCCGTCGCACGGCTTTCTGTAGAGATTGTGCCAATGTGCCCGCCCAACCGTAATTCAGGGGAGCGCTGTTTGCCCCTAACGCTGCAGCACAAGGTAAAAGCTTTGGACTTTGGGCCTTCTGATGGGCAAAACGCGGTGCGTGGGTGGTTTTAATTTGCATTTTTATGCTCATAAGGGAGGTTGAGTGTGAGTCATTTGTCTTTTCTGTGACCCGTTCCCAGTCTTTGCCACATTTGTTTTTGGTTGTTGGCCTTTTAAAAATTAATTTCCAGGAGTCCTTTGTGTAAGGGGAGATTTGTTCTTTGCGGCAGGCATAGAAAATGTTTTCCCATTTTGGCATTTATTGCCTGGCATTCCTTTTTCGTCGTGCGGATTCTTGCCTTTGTTGAATGCATTCGTCTTTGCCTGGCTTCTGGGTTTGGAGGTGTAGCTGGAGAGGTTTTCCGGCGTGGTGGTTAAAGAGGGCTCGAGGTAACAGGAGAGACGGGGCTTGCACGGGAGGGTGCAAGGAAACCAAGGGAGCACTGTGGGGGCAGCCAGGACGAGGCAGGGGTGATCCTTGTGCGTAGCCATGGCGTTTATATAAACTCTCCAGACCTGATTTCTTTCTTTTTTTTTTTTTTAATATATCTTTATTGATTTCAGAGAGAGGAAAGGAGAGGGAGAGAGAGAGAGAGAAACATCAATGATGCGAGAGTCATTGATCGAGCCCGCAACCCGGGCATGTGCCCTGACCGGGCATCGAACCCTGATCGCCTGGATCTTAGGTCGACGCTCAACTGCTGAGCCACGCCCGGCCGGGCACCAGACCTGATTTCTGAAAACACCTGTCTCTGTTTTACATTCATTCTTATTGCCGATATCCCAGGCTTACTAGCATTTCATCTACAACTCTTGGCTTCACTGTCTTCTAGTTAGAAAGTTCCTTGCTGTGACTATTTCTTAATAATCAAAAGATTTTGGAGAGCTGTTTTATACAATAAAATAAAAATCGGAAAAAGGAAGTGTTATAAAATAAAAGGAAGTAAGAGGCGTCAGTACATTTTTGGACCTTGCTTTGGTCTTGATTCAAACAGCCAGCTCTGCAGCAGCATCTTGGGGACGGCCGGTGTAATCCGCATGCGGACCGGGTTAGTTTATGTTAAGGTATCGCTATTAACAGAGGTGAGGTCACGGCACGGTGGTTACGCTGTTTTTTAAACAGACTTTCTCCCTTGGAGGTGCCCGCCAAAGTAGTTATGGGTAAAGTGTTATGATAAGGGACTCGCTTTAAAATATTTCAGGACGGGGGGAGTCGGATGAGACGTAACCATGTTGATCAAACACTGATCGCAGTCGAAGCGAAGGGCGCCTAAAGGGCTTATCATTTTCTTCTTTCTACTTCCTGCGTGTAACTCAGATTTTCCATGATAAAAATGTTTAAAAAGACTAAATATAAAATGAGCATAGAGTTATTATAGAAAACTTTGAAAAAGACAAAACGCTCCAAGTAAAAAAGGTCGCGACCCCGCCAGCTGGACACACCTACCGTTCACGTTTAAATCCTTGCCTTTTGCCCGCGTCTAAATATGCACGTATGCATTAATTAAGAAAATACCTCAGTAATATTTTAAACAATAATAAAATTTTAAAGAAAGAAAAAAAATGCCCAGTCAGTCGCCGCCTGCGTTGTCTCACCTGGCGTGTGAGCCTCCCAGAGTATCGTGACCCACGGTCCGCACCACCGTTTTGGTGGTTTCATGGCATTTCGACATATAGGCGACCACAGTTTATCTAACTGCAGGGTGTCCCCAAAACCGTATACACACTTTCTGTAATTGTTCATTCCAGTGGGTTCATTCTGGAAAGAAGGAAACATGGACCGAGCCATCCGCCGTTAAAGCGTGTCCATTTTGGGGGGGGGGGCACCCTGTAGTTCACCCTTTTGGGGGCTTCTGGCTAGTTTCATATTCTCCGCGGCTGTAAAGTGCGCGCCCCTGTTGGGGACCGATGGCGGCCCTTCGGGAGGTGGTGCCCTTCGGACCCCACCAGCAGTGGGTGGGGGGTGCATGCTCTCCTGTCCTTGCCAAGCCTCGGAGGGCGATGGATACACCGGGAGCGACGGTGCCCAGAGCCATCTCCCCGCCTTATTGCCAGGGGAGGCAGGCGAGCCGCAGCGGGCATCTGCATGGGCACAGAAACGTCCGTATCGGGGAAGGGGCTGTGCGTTTCGGGAGACCTCCGGTGTCTCTGGTCCTGCCGGGATCCGCGATCTGGCCCAGAAGCCTGGCTTCAGATGGTAGCCCGTGTTGTGTCAGCTCCTTGCCAGCTTTTAACCACGTCATGCCTCCTGGACGTTTCCACGTGGTAGGTTCTTAAGCTGCGCGCCCCTCTAGGTAAGATCACCAGAAGCTCTCCTTCGGCATCGCCTTGGACGCCCGGTTCTCCTTCGGCGCTCTGCGTCGGTGCGACACCTCTTGGGTTATCTTCGCATTGTGGTTTGATGATCAGTCTTGTTTATTGCAAAATCTATGCTGTTTCAGTTTTNCGGGTTGTCTTCGCATTGTGGTTTGATGATCGGTCTTATTTATTGCAAAATCTATGCTGTTTCAGTTTTGAGGCTTCCCTACCACGGCTGCTCGCCATTGACGCGGGGCCTGTGTTCGTGCCCCGCGTTTCCCATCCTCGGCCGTCCCGCTCCGTCAGTCGGATGTCGGAGGCGGTCAGGACAGGACCCTGAAGCGAACTTTCTGTCCAAGGGACCCGAACTCAGAGCTTTTCTTTAGATTCTCCGTCCCGGGGTGGCGTTTAATGTAGCCAAGCAGAAAAGACAGTCCGTGAAGCAGCAAACCACCGGCGGACCCAGAAAATGATAAGTTTTATGTACGTTTCCCCCTTTAGCGCAGAAAATGCAGGACCGAGAAGACACAACAGGATGGTTCTCACTGTTCTTCTCAGGGAAAGTAGGACCCCTTGAAAACATCCTCGAACGTAATCGTGTCTTTGTGTCACTTCGTATTAACCAGACTGGCGTCCGTGTGACACCCAGCCCTGAGGAGTATCTGAAATCTGCCGTCTGCTCAGACAGACAGACACGACGGAGTCACTGTGGGTTTCCCGTCCCCACACAGGCGTCTTTGTAAGAATGAAAGAAACGAATATAAGCACCCCGTGCGACGCTTAGGACGGAACGTATAGGAACCCCCAGGTTGGAGGGCTGCGACTCGGGGAGACACTTATTTTAGTAATCATTTGTTGGATGTAGTTGGTGTGGTTTTTATTCCTTTTTAAAATGTAAGTTGGCAAGAAGGTCTCCTTTGGGGCCGGCCCAGAACCTTCCCTGTTCACCTCATTCCGGAGCCACCGCCTTGGCCCGGCCGGCTGCTGTGGGACCTCGGGGAAGAAGGAACCTGGTGTTCTGTGGGTGACGGACATGTCACCTCTTCCACTTTATTTCATTTACATGTCAGAATAGCATCGAGGTGGCGCCGGTATCCACTGAAACGGNCTACGTGTCAGAATAGCATCGAGGTGGTGCTGGTATCCACTGAAACGGACCATGTGCTTGTTAAGGAGAGAGAGAGAAGCGGCTTTGAAGTTCAGTGACTTGCCTGGGATCTCAGCAGAGCGGCCGCCGTGGCCTTGAGTCAGGAGCTCTGTGTTCATCTCCGATGCTCCAGGGGAGCCTCCGCTTGCTCAGTAAAGCTTGGTTTTCATTCTTTGTTGCAGTAGGGTGGAAATGGTAGGGTGCGAGGGGACACAAATGGGCTAAAAGGGTGTCCTCCCCTGTGTGTGTGCATCTGTGTCCAAATTTCCCCTTTTTGTAAGGACACCAGTCACGTTGGATTAGGACTCACCTTAATGACTTCATTTTAACGTGATTACCTGTGCAAACGCCGTCTCCAAAGAAGGTCACATTCCGAGGTGCTGGGGTTAGGACTCCACCGTCTTTTTTTGGGGGGCGGGGGGACACAATTCAACCCTTAACACCCCCAGTAAACCTAGTGCCAGATAGTCCTCCCCGCGCTCCTGCATTCGGGTGAGGGCAGGGCTCCCGTTGTCCGAGTGGTCCGGGGCTGCCCACCGCCAGGTCCCTGCCATCCCGAGCCGGGTGGGGGTGGGGAGAGAGGGGAGTCTGAGCTTTTTCTTAGTACTTGGTGCAGACATACTGAGCCCTCGGTGACATCTGATAATCGTTTCCTCTTGGTGGAGACACTGCTTCCTTTTTCTTTTACAACAACACAGCCAGCAGGCAAGCAGGACTTCTAAACACAGNCTTTTTCTTTTATAACAACACAGCCAGCAGGCAAGCAGGACTTCTAAACACAGAGCAGCTGGAAGCGGGGAGCCTGTGGCCTCCCCATCACCCTCCCAGGGCCCGCAGCGCAGCCCTGGGACGCCCCACAGGGCCTCAGCATGCTCACCAAGGACAATAGGCCTTAGTCACAGTCTGCGAATTCCACCCGTTCCCCACGAGGAGTGCGCCCCACACCCCGTCAGACCCCGTGTTGGAGCTTTTCCTAAGGTTCTTCTGTGATTCCTGAGGGGCCGTCCTGGGCAACCTCAGAAAAGGGTTTTTTGTTTGTTTTTCAGTTCATCAGGGCGTTTGCCCCTAAGTGTTGCAGCCCTGGGGTGGGCTGGGGGAGGGGGGGACAGAGCTGTGGGGTCTCGATCTCATTGCACATGTGCCTGTTTGCAGACACCAGCTGGAGAGGCCGGGACATTACTCCCACCTGGCTGCCTTCTATGAGGACAAGAAAGGGGTGCTCCATGCCGGTCCTGGGAGGGGCGGCGGCCTGCCCCCCGTCTACTGGCTGCCTTCCATCCACCGGTACATGTACCCCGAGATGAAGGTGAGGTCTGCTGTACTCGCACGGCCTGGGCTTGTGTCTGCGGACAGTAGTGCTTAGCTGTTAGTTAATTAATAAGGAATTTCTGTCTTGGGCTCCTGTCCAAAGTCCGCTTTTGATAGAGCAGGATTGCTAACTCCAGCATTTGGGTTCTTTTAAAATGTAAAGCAAGTTGTAGTAAACAGTGTGCTCTCTAGACCCTTCCTAATCATTGTGCAAAGCCATAGCGATAGGCCAGTCGAGGGGATTCCCTGGGTGGGGGGGAGAGAGGTGGGTTGGGTCCTATTGATTCAGGTATTTTAAAGGTAGACATCTGAGCCAATGACAAAGAGGGAAAACAGCTCTGATATTTCCTAGTTACAGTATTTTGGATATTGCTTTAGTGTATATTTTTTTCTGAAGTACTTTGCCTTTGTATTAGAATATATTTGTTTACAGTTAACAGAACACCTGGCCAAGTGTTAGGTGTTGGGAGGGAACAAAGGTGACTGTGAACTTGAGGCTCCTCCTCCCCACCTTCCCTATACTTGGTCACAAGACACTTTAAGCAGAAACCTCGCGCTCCCTGGTAGAGAAATTACATCATGAATTGGAGGGAGGAATCTGGGAAGGCTTCTTGGAAGAGGAGGCAATCCCTGAAGTGATTGGCTAGGCAGAAAGTGAGGGGTGCTGACTGCAGACTGAGGGAGGGCCTGGCCAATAGTGGCTTAAACCGGTGCGTATTTATTATCGCACAGTTTCTGTGGGTCAGGAATCAGGCACAGCTTAGCTGGGGGCCTCTGCTTCATGGTCTCTCGTGAGACCACAGTCAAGGTGTCAGCTAGGGTCTGAGTCTCACGTGAAGGCTCGACTGGGGAAGTGTATCCGCTTCCGAGCTCACGTAGTTGTTGAGAGCACTGAGTTCCTTGAGGGCTGCTGGACTGAGGGCCTCCGAACCTCANTGCACTGGACTGCTGGACTTGAGGGCTGCTGGACTGAGGGCCTCCGAACCTGACCGAGGGACAGGCTCCTGTGTTTAGCAGGAAAGGAGGGATGGTTGGNAGCACTGAGTTCCTTGAGGGCTGCTGGACTGAGGGCCTCCGAACCTCACTGACCGAGGGACAGGCTCCTGTGTTTAGCAGGAAAGGAGGGATGGTTGGAGTTGAAGTACAGCAGCTGTTCCACCAGCAGGCCCTGTGGGCCTTCCTCCCGGTGACCTCGGAATGCGGGACCACCTGGCNGAGTTGAAGTACAGCGGCTGTTCCACCAGCAGGCCCTGTGGGCCTTCCTCCCGGTGACCTCGGAATGCGGGACCACCTGGCTGCTCAGGCGCCAGGACAGCACCGAGCAAAGCCCTCAAGAGCATCCTGGCAGGCTGAGGGCTCAGAGACGGCCAGCTGGCTCACAGACACCTCATTCCACACAGTGGCCGGGTCCCCATACATTTGGGGACCTGACCTGGGACTGTTGGCTCATCGCTGTATTCCTTCCAGTGCTCAGTAATGTTTGTGAGTCGAATGTTCTCGCTGAGGTGCACTGTCACTTCAGATACTTATATTTCTGACTTATATACACACACATACACACACACATATTTTTATTGATTTCAGAGAGGAAGGGAGAGGGAGAGAGAGAGAAACATCAACGATGAGAGAGAGTCATCGATCGGCTGCCTCCTACATGCCCCCTGCTGGGGGTTGAGCCTGCAGCCCGGGCCTGTGCCCTGGCCGGGAATCGAACCAGGATCTCCTGGATCCTAGGTCGATGCTCAACCGCTGAGCCACACCGGCCGGGCTCTTTCTGACTTTTAAGAAGTTATGTTCAGTCCTGTGTCCTCGGTACCTCTCTGTCCCAAGGACAGCAGTTAAGGATCCTTCAGCTCAGACTTCAGTGCGTTGGGGGAGCTGGTGAATTGTAGAAATCTAATTTACAGGTGGGACTTTGAGAGGAAAATTTCACTTTATGTGGAAGTGGCCATCCCTGCATCTGTTTGGTTGCGCTTGGGGGGCTGTTTTGAGACGGGTGGTGCTCACCTGCCCATATTGAGCATTTTTCGCAATGACATTTCTAATCACTGCCCCCTCTTTTTTCTTTTAGATCACACACCCTGCCGGTTGCATGTCTCAGTTCATTAAGTTCTTCGGGGAGCAGATCCTCGTTCTTTGGAAGTTCGCCTTACTTCGAAAGCGCATTCTGATATTCTCTCCCCCTCCCGTGGGCGTCGTGTGCTATCGAGGTAACGAGGGGCCAGAGTCGGGGTCCTGCCCTAGTTCCCCGGGGCCCATGCTCGAGTCTTTCCATCGTTCCCCAAGTTCAGAAGGGTTTGCGCCGTGTCATGGGGTCACGGGTTTTAAGCCTGGGAGTGGCCTGGTTGGATCTGTGTTTTTTTATTTTTATTTTTAGTTTTTTTAAAATATATCTTTATTGATTTCAGAGAGAGGAAAGGAGAGGGGGAGAGAGAGAGAGAGAGAAACATCAATGATGAGAGAGTCATTGATCGAGCCCGCAATTCCCAGGCATGTGCCCTGACCGGGAATCGAACCCCAATCGCCTGGATCCCAGGTCGACGCTCACCCGCTGAGCCACGCAGGCCGGGCTGGATCTGTGTTTAGAACATGGGCTCTGGTGGCAGTGAAGATGGACTAGGCGACGTGCTGTACTCTGGTGACAGATAAGGGTCTGGATTGGAGCAGAGGAGATGGGTTCTGTGTACAGTTAAGAAAGAAGCTTGAAGCATTTGGTGTGTGGTGGGCCGTAAGGCTCTGATGGGCGTGAGGCTGTAATGGAGGAAGAGTCTAGGGTCCCGAGGACGGTGGGGCCACAAGGCGGGACCGACGAGGAGGTGGGGTGAGAGTTGACTTTGGACCCAGGGAGTGTGTGCTGCCCGGGAGGCCTTCTCCAGACGTCCACGGGCACTGGCGTAGCTGGGTCAGGCCCCTGGCGGGGAGCTGGGCGGGAGCTGAGGTTGAGAGTGCCTCATACACCGCGCTGGAAACCCGGGATGGGTGGCATCCGGGGGGCAGGGGGGAGAGTTGTGCGGTGCTTAGGATGCAGGCGTGGGGGCTGAACCATGAAGGTGGAAGACAGGACACTGAGGCGGAACCGTCGGGAGGGAGGGAGCCAGAGGATGGAGGGGTCACCGTCGGCGGGAGCAGTGCCGTGTCCCGAGCGAGCCCGGGTGAGGTGAAGACTGAGACCTGTCCACCGGATTTGGTGGGACATTGCTGGCGTGGCCTCAGGGACCTCAGGTCCAGCCCCGGTACCAGTCAGGCTCCCCCTCGTCTCCTTGGACCGCAGGACCACCTGGTTGCTCAGGCGCTGGGACGGCACAGGGCAAGCCCTCAGTGGCATCGCGGGAGGCCGAGGGCTCGGGGACGGCCAGCTGGCTGCGCAGGAGGCGGGGACGGGAGAGACCGACCCCCCGTCCCTGTCCCCGTCCCCGTCCCCACAGTGTACTGCTGCTGCTGCCTGGCCAACGTCTCCCTGCCCGGCATCGGGGGCACCATTCCCGAGTCCAAGCCTTTCTTCTACGTGAACGTGGCCGACATCGAGAGCCTGGAGGTAGAGGTGTCCTATGTGGCCTGTGAGTACGGGGCCCTCGCTGCCTGCTGCCCACCGCCCCGCCCGGCCCCCCAGGCCCTCCCCGTGGGCTGGGGCTCCTGGGCTCCTTGCTCCCCGGTGGGCCGGGCCGGTGCCCTCCAGCTCCGCCCTCGGGTCTCACAGGCACCACGGAGAAGATCTTCGAGGAGAAGCGGGAGCTGTACGACGTCTACGTGGACAACCAGAACGTGAGGACGCACCACGAGCACCTGCAGCCGCTGCTCAAGGTCAACAGCGCCGACCGGGAGAAGTACCGGCGGCTCAACGAGCAGAGGTGGGGCCCGGCCCTGGGCGCGCACCCCGACACGTCCCCCGGCGGGGACGCCCGAGCGGGGCCTTGGTCACCCCACCCTGTCCACCCTCCCCTCAGGGCACGTGGCGGGCCCGGGCGACGGGGGGCCCCCGGCACGGGGCCCAGGTAGCGCATCAGACACGCGTGGGTGGGGGCTGCTCTCCGGTGGACTCGGGAACCTGCGAAGCCCAAGTGACAGGCGCCGAGCGTCCAGCGTGTGCCCCGAGAGCTTGCTGGGCGTCACCGAGGAATTCCCCGTCATTCTGGTAGCCCCTGACATAAATGGCTCGTTGTCACCCCTTTTCGATGGGCAGTTAGGAAAGGTGGTCACTTGCTGGAGGTGACACAGGCCCCAAACCGGCCCTGACCCTAGGGGTTTTGACGCCCAGTCCTATTTATTTATTTCTGGCGCCGTGTCCCCCTGCCTTTGGCCTGGGGGCCCTGCTCTGGGACCTCCCTTCCTGGGGGGGGGGTGGCCGTGCAGATGCCGGTGGCCTCCCGTCAGCAGGTGCTTTCCCGCAACAGGCAGGCGCTGCTCTACTCCCAGGAGGTGGAGGGCGACTACAGCCCCTGTGAGGACGAGCTCTTTGTGCTGTAAGTCGCCTGGGCTGGGCTGGGGTCCCTGCGTGTCCCCCCGCGGCCCGGGGAGGTCCTTTACGGCTGCGTCGACATAAGGAACGTAGGGAGCTGTAGAGAATGTTTGACTTTCTTGAGCCAAACTGACGACGGTGGCCAGGAAGCAAACTGGCAAATGCCCCGGAGAATGGCAGTTGGGCAGCTTATTTTATTCGTTGGAATCAAAGGCGATGCAGGAGGCTGCATGGATGGAGTCCACCGGCTGGTCTGTCATCCCGGCTGCGCAGTGGGCAGAGCTCGTTTAAGGCAAACGCTGACCTTTCTGCTGGAGCGGTGGGCCCGGGCTGACTTCCTGCCCCGACCTGCCCAGTGAGGAACTGGCGGCCAGGCCGTCCTGCGGGGTCACCGAGCCACAGAGCCCGTCAGGCCTGCCGTGTGCTCCCCCAGCTGTCAGGTTTATTACACGGCCCCTTTTGCATTCTCTCTGTCAGCCCTGAACCCTGAAATGCTGTTAGTGGGGTACCCAGAGCAGTTAAGGGAAGAAGCAGGGGAAGGTCATTAAGAGAAAACGGGGTCCTGGGGTTTGTCCTTCTGTTGGGCATTTGCGTCGGATGTCCACTGCGTAGAAGCTGTCTGTCCCTCAGGAGTCAGGGACTTCTCGCCCACTGCTTCCTTTGAATGGAGCAGCTCCTTGCACTGAGCATTATGGGATAATATGACAATTTAACTCTTGAACCTAATGAAACCTTTCCCCCAGATCCAGTGGTGGTCAGGGTGGGAGTCCCCACATCTGGTGGTGGTCTGGGAGGGAGCCCCCAGATCTGTTGGTGGTCAGGGTGGGAGCCCCTAGATCTGGTGGTGGTCGGGGTGGGAGTCCCCAGATCTGGTGGTGGTCAGGGTGGGAGTCCCCAGATCTGGTGGTGGTCGGGGTGGGAGTCCCCAGATCTGGTGGTGGTCGGGGTGGGAGCCCCCAGACCTGGTGGTGGTCAGGGTGGGAGCCCCCAGACCTGGTGGTGGTCGGGGTGGGAGCCCCCAGACCTGGTGGTGGTCTGGGAGGGAGCCCCCAGATCTGGTGGTGGTCAGGGTGGGAGCCCCCAGATCTGGTGGTGGTCAGGGAGGGAGCCCCCAGACCTGGTGGTGGTCGGGGTGGGAGTCCCCAGACCTGGTGGTGGTCGGGGTGGGAGCCCCCAGACCTGGTGGTGGTCGGGGTGGGAGCCCCCAGACCTGGTGGTGGTC